GCTGGGCGCTGTAGCCCTGGATCGCTCCTAACGGACTTTGCAAGGCCCAGTACACAGGGGCTGCAGTGAGGGGGCGGCAGCAGGCCCCGGGACACCGCCTGTGAGGGGACAGGGGCCTCGGGCCTTGGCCTGCGCGGGGACAGGGGCCTCTCTCGGCCCTCGGCCTCCGCGGGGCCACGGGCCTCTCTCGGCCTCGGCCTGCGCGGGGGCACGGGCCTCTCTCGGCCTCGGCCTGCGCGGGGACACGGGCCTCTCTCGGCCTCGGCCTGCGCGGGGACACGGGCCTCTCTCGGGCTTGACCTCCGCGGGGACACGGGCCTCTCTCGGGCTTGACCTCTGTGGGGACACGGGCCCTCAGCGGGGTCCTGGGCAGCACCTGCTAGGGGCGCGGTCGGGCGACCCCACACACCGCGGCGGGCAGGGCCTGAGGGCCCTCCTCCCTACACCTCCCGTCCCAGTCCCCGTCTGCGTCCGCGCACCCGCCCGGGCCCCCGCACCTGCCACCTCTTCCGTCCTGGGCCGAGGCGGGTCCGGGTCAGCGAGGCCCGGAAAGGGGTCCCCGCAGCGGTGCATCCTGGGACGCGGCCCCTCGAGCCCAGCGGTGGCGCGGGAAGCCCGGGTGGGGGCCAAGCGAGCGCCCCACCGGCCACTGGCTCCTTTCATGGGTGCCCTCTTCAGACTCGCCCTGCGCTGGTCTCGCGAGACAGGCCTCACTCGTGGCTGGGTCAGCCGGGGTAAGCAGCTCACCCACCCCAGCTGCACAGCTGCGGCCCGGCGCTGGTGCGGTTTGCACCTGGGCCTTCTGTGATTCCAAACCCAGGGCCCTACGCAACCTCTTCAGAAGGTGAAAACACTAACGGTCTGCAGGCTGTTGACAGGAGGGGGAAGTCCTAGCACAAGTCAAAAGCACCCATGGACTACCTCAGCGGGCAAGCCCAGGTCTGCAGCCATCATCCTTTATAAGGTTGAATTAACAAAGACAGAAAAATAGGAACTAGACGAGGCAATGCAAAACGTCCACAGCAAAAGGGAACAGGGAGGGAGCATTGTTTCTCTGAAGGTTTGATTAAAATACAAACCTAGGAAAACCATTTACGTGCAGTGAGCCGTGATGGCACCACTGCGCTTCAGCATGGGTGACAGAGTGAGATCCTGTCTCAGAAAGAGAAAACATTTACAGATGAGATAGTTTAGCAGAGTAGAGGAAAACAGTCATTCTCGCCATACAGCCCTGGATGTAAACTCCGACTCATTCACCAACTTTGGGAAGTGTGACTTTAGGCTTTTTAGCGCTTTTTTCTTTTCCGGAAATAGGGTCTCACTCTGTCACCCAGGCTACAGTGCAGTGGCACAATCACAGCTCACCATAGCCTTGACTTGTGGAGCTCAGGTGATCCTCTCATTCCAGCCTCCTAAGTAACCACAGGTATGCACCACCTCATTCAACTCATCTTTGTATTTTTTGTAGAGACCAGGTTTCACCATGTTGCCCAGGCTGGTCTCCAACTCCCGGGCTCAAGCTATCCGTCCACCTTGGCCTCCCAAGGTGCTAGGACTACAGATGTGAGCCTCCACACCCAGACCTTCTAGCACTTTTTAATACTCTAATTGATACGCTAATTCCCTCATAAGTAAAACCTGCTTCGGATGTAATGAACTGAATTGACACTGAAGAAGATCAAATCAGATATGAAGTAGAGAGGGCCAGGTGCGGTGGCTCACGCCTGCAATCCCAGCACTTTGGGAGGCAGGGGCAGGTGGATCACCTGAGGTCAGTAGTTCAAGACCAGCCTGTCCAACATGGTGAAACCCAGTCTCTATTAAAAATACAAAATTAGCCTGGCATGGTGGTATATGCCTGTAATCCCAGCTAGTTGGGAGGCCAAGACCGGGGAGGCAGAGTTTGCAGTGAGCTGCCGAGATTGTGTCATTGCACTCTAGCCTGGGCAACAAGAGGGAAACTTCATCTCAAAAAAAAAGGAGAGTTCAGATATTCTCCCAGAACACTCAGGAGAAGATGAAAGAGGTAATTAAACATGGAGATTAGAAAGCAGAAACTGAATCTACAAATAATGCCTTAAGACAGTAAAATGTAATATTGAAGGATGGTAAAATAACTTAGAAAAAAATATGTAGGATGGGTCTATAAAAGACATCATATTGCCATTAACAAAAAGAAAGGTAACCAAAAGACATACTCTGATATACGAAGTCTTAGAAAATATATCTGTCTTCCTAGGAAATTGCTGGGATGCATACATAACCCAGTCATATTTCCTGGAAACATTATCAAAGAAAGGAACCCAAATTAAGATTTTCTCATTAGACACATCGTGAAATACAGACTAAATAATAAATGTAATGGTGATAACAAAATGTAGTGGAAAAGTCAAGAACAAAATTTGAGGGTAAGATATATAATGTAAAAAATCATAGGAAATAGCAATTTGGTTTATAAATTCAAGTGAAATTAACAATGGCCAGCAAGCTGGAGGGGGCAGAAAGCTTATTAGATGCAGAATTTACTTCAGTCTTGGCTTTGATAACTGAAAAGATGAATTTTCAAGCGTATTTTTTGAAAAGAAGAGAAAGGCACCTGGGCACAGAGGCTCATCCCTGTAGTTCTAGTGGTTTGGAAGGCTGATGTGGGAGGATCACTTGAGGCTCAGTTTGAGACAAACCTGGGCAACATAGTGAGACTCCATCCCTACAAACAAATTTAAAAGGCTGGGCATGGTGGCATACACTCATAGCCTCAGCTGCTGGGTGGGGGAGGCGGGGCTGATAGGGGAGGATCACTTGCGTGCAAGAGTTTCAAGGCTGTAGTGAGCCACCATGATTGTGTCACTGCACTCCAGCCTGGATGGCAGAGTGAGACCCTGGCTCCAAAAAACTAAAAAATAAAAATAAAAGCATAGAAAGGCGATGATTTGCTGGGCATGGCGGCTCACACCTACAATCCCAGCACTTTGGAAAGCTGAGGTGGGCAGATCTCTTGAGGTCAGGAGTTGGAGACCAACCTGGCCAACATGATGAAACGTGTCTCTACTAAAGACACAAAAGTTAGCTGGGTATGGTGGCATGCATCTGTAATCCCAGCTACTCAGGTGGCTGAAACAGGAGAATTGCTTGAACCCGGGAGGCAAAGGTTGCAGTGAGCTGAGATCATGCCACTTCACTACAGCCTGGGAGGCGGTGGGATACTTGGTCTCAAAAAATCAGAAAGGCAATGATTTAAAACAGATATATTTTCCAAATAACTGTAAGAGAGAAACACAAATTACTAACAATCCATATGCAACCCAAAAGAAAACAAAGGAAACACTAAGACTGAAATAAAATGACAAATGTGTAATTTATGACAAGAAAAATTATTTAAGAGTTTACACCTATGTATGTTTAATAAAAAGGAAAAAGAGGCAAAACCTTGTCGATTGTGTTTATAATATAAAATCCATTTATTATCTGCCACTTATAAATAATTATGTCAAAGAGATTACACCAAAAGGTTTAGACTAAAAATCACATAATGTAGTGGTAGAACCTCAAAGCCTGGCCTTGGATTATCCCAGTGCACTCTTCTCTACATACTACAGTGTTTGTTTTTTTTTAAACCAGCTGATTCACAAATCAAGTAGCATAGTGAGGGTGGACAATACGGACTGCCTAAGCATCCCAGCATCATCTGTTCTACATATTACTATTCCAAATGGCATGCTGCTGTGTTTGTGAATCCAGCATCCCACAGTGGATATGTCACCACTGACCTGTAACAATTGGAATGACATATCTTCACTGGAGGTAGGCCTTGGCCATTCTCCACAGCAGACTATTAAATAACAAAATAAGCAGTACTATTTATTTATTACAATGCTGTTAAAAAAAAAAAAAAAAGGCCTCTGATGAAATCCTGGTGACTTCTCTCTTCTTACAGATCCAGGAAGTATAGACAGCTGTTGAGCCCTGTTTCCAAATCCTCAGCTGAAGGTGTGCTGACGTGCCTTCTGTCCATGCAGCCCTATCCAAGGCTCAGCTATTCGTGATCACCCCCAAATGTTACCCTGATTCTATTATCAATTTGTAATAAAACTCACTTGTGTGGTGGAAAAGCTGTTGCCAATTAATTTTAGTTTTGTTTGTCACACATCTTCCATGCCATCATCAAATTGTTTACTGTTCATATTAAAAGTGACACACAGCCAAGAGAGCATATGCTATGTTCAAGTAAAGAATGCTATGTGAGCCAGGCGTTGTGGCTCATGCCTTTACTCCCAGCACTTTGGGAGGCCAAGGCATGTGGAGCAATTGAGGTCAGGAGTTGAAGACCAGCCTGGCCAACAGGGTGAAACCCCATCTCTACTAAAAATACAAAAAAACTTAGCCAGATGTGGTGGTGCATGCTTGTTATCCCAGCCACTTGGGAAGTTGAGGTGGGAGAATTGCTTGAACCCAGGAGGTGGAGGTTGCAGTGAGTCAATATTGCACCACTGCACTCCAGTATGGGTGACAGAACAAGATGCCACCTCAAAAAGAAAGAAAGAAAAAAGAGTGCTATGTGATACAGCAATGATGTACTTGTCAGTAGTCTAGTGAGTCAGGGGAACCCTCTCTCTTAATTGTGGAAAAAAACAGCACAATCAGAAAAAAAAATAAAAGATAATTTTCAGGAAAATTGACAGTTAAAAATCCAATTCTGTTTCACACAAGTAGGGTATACTATCTACTTTTGTGTTTTACAGAAAAACAAATACCCAGTGATTTGGAGATGGAAAATATATGCTCCTTAACAAATAAAAGAAGCTTAGCTGTGGGGAAACCTGCCCTTCCTCAAAATTTATTGAATAGCTTAAAAAGATTTCATGAGCAATTATTAATGTGCTTCTGAGGTGCTTACTTCATGGGCCTCAAAGGGAGTAATGAGCAACAGGGGGCTCAAGGCGCTTAAAAAGCACATGGACATTCTGATTGTCACCCTTAGAAAGTGCTTTTTTTTTAAGTTAAAAAATACGAAATGCTTCATAAATTTATGTGTCATCCTTGAGCAGGGGCCATGCCAATCTTTGTATCATTCCAATTGTAGTATATGTGCTGCATAGAAAGTACTTTTGCAAGCATAGAAAGTACTTTTCAGGTAAAAACATGTTCAGTTCTACTGCCTTCAATGATTAGGTAGGCTCTAGAAAACTGCAAACACCTGAGCCATTCCCACCGGAAAGAAAATCACAGGCAGCTCACATTCCATATCTCAGTGCTTCTAAATATCAGAGCACTTCTGGCACAGTGGTGTGTGCCTGTAATCTTAGCTACTCGGGAGGCTGAGGCAGGAAGGTCCTTTGAGCCCAGATTGGCTGGGGCAACATGGTGAGATCTCATTGAAAAACAAAAACAAAAACAGTATGTGAAGCAAATTTGAAATAAGTATCAGAGAAGTATACTTTGAAAACAAAGCAAAAATTGTGAAAAGGAAAAACACAAGCAATCCAGGGTGTGCACAAACACGTATTGTACTCAATGCAGTAGGTAACTGGACTACAGTTTATTCCAACTGCTTGGAAAGGTTCAATGTGAACTGCAAACTTGGAAAGGGATTACTGTTTGCTTTTCCTTTATCTTAAAAAATATACAATCCAGCTTTGCAATTAAGAGGAGATCCATGGTGTTTACTGTAAAAGCTTTGATGTGAGTTCAGTTCTACCTTCTTTAAAACAACCAGAAAAACTCAGAAATGGTTTGCCAGTCTGCTCTATGATCCTACTGTTAGAAAAGGCATTTTATCCACCATGATTTTCAAATGTGCATTTTGATAAAGCAAGACAATTTTTATGCGGTCATAAGTGACAATCAAGACCAAGTAAAGTTTAATATTTAGGTCAAGTTTCCAAACATCTGGGCAGTCCATGTCTACCAAGCGCAGCCCTGGTGGATTGTGTTAAGGAAGACGTGGGAGGAACAGCAGCAAGTCCAGTGCGTGCCCAGGGAGATGCTTTGGATGTCTGGAACATCGCCTTTGGTGATCATGTTAAAACTATTTCTGACTTGAATGGTATTGTTTTCAGCCTGTGATTTAAAAGGTGCAACCCAAAATGCCAGTATTATTTGTATGCAGAAAACACAAATAAATTGAAAACCATTGCCTTGGGTTCTACCTCTTCCCCTCCCGTGCACACTTGAGTCCAACAAAAATTTCTCTCTTAAACATCTTCAACTACTTCCTAATGGTCAAATCATCCAGTGGTTTCTCAGATCTCATCCCACTGTTGCTCTCAGACTTACTAAACCCCACATACATTTTCCTTCTCAAAGCTCTGTACAATCTTTCTTAGTTTCCTCGTAGTATTTTCTGTTCTCCTGCCTCAAATTTCTCCCACTTTCCTTCCTCTATCTAGCCCTCCCCCACCCGCCCTCACCTTTTCCCTCTCCACTCTCAGGGCAAACAGACTTTCTTGGATGCTTTTCATAATACCTGTATACAAATAACTCATATTTCGCTCTGTTCTAATTTTCAACAGAGGATTTCTAACTCTCTGGATGCCGTGCTGTGCTGATAACAGTGCCAGAAGTCATTCAGGTGAGAACTGAACTTTTCTTCCTCCTAGGGCTTCCAACTTTCTTATTTCAAATAAACAGCAGCATCTCAGCATGCCAGCGAAATCATGGCTGTTTCTTTCAGGTTGCTCCTGTTCCTCCTTTTAAAAATTGTGTTTTTATTTATTTTTGTCCAGTTATACTTGCACACATTTTTTAGAGACTCAGTCTTTCGGTTCCAAAAACTTTTCTTGAATTTCTTTCGTACTTTCTCTTTTCCAGTCCTTTTCTCTGTTTCTGGTACTTCAACTATTCAATTATTGGAACTTGGTGACTGGTTCTCACATTGTATTCTCTCTCTCTCTCCTGTTTTCTGATTTGTCATGTTGCTATAAGATCTAGATTCCCTCAACTTATTTTTACTACATTTCTATTGAGTTTTTCATTTTTGCTGTTATATTAATTTATAAAAGGCATTTTTTCCCCACCGCATATTTTTCTTTTTTGAGACAGGGTCTTGCTCTGTCACCCAGGCTGGAGTTCACTGTAACCTTGAACTGCTGGGTTTAAACCATCCTTCTGCCAAGCCTCCCAAGTAGCTGGGACTACTATACCCAGCTATTTAAAACTTTTTATTTTTATCTTTACAGAGATGGAGTCTCACGATGTTGCCTGGGCTGGTCTTAAACTCCTGGGCTCAAGTGATCCTCTTGAGTGCTGAAATTGATCCTCCCAAAGTGCTGAAATTACAGGTCTGAGCCCCTCACTGAGTATTTGTAGTATCCTTTATAATCTCTTTGAAGGTATTGCTAAATTAACTTCCTCTTTGTTTAATCTGTTTCATGTTTGTTTTGATCTCTGCCTTTTGGGTTAGAGGCTTTCTCCTAATTCCTGATGTTCCTTGGCTATTCACTCATATGTAAGAGTGAGGCACTAAAAAAAAAAAAAAAAAAAAAGAGTGAGGCACTTAAGTGCCAATTAGCTGTAGGTACATGGAGATATTTGCCACTGTGGGCTTCATAGTAGGGTGATTTGGCTGAGTAACTTCTTTGGGGAACCCCAATATCAGTGTCTTTAGATCTTTCTTCTTGGGTTTGTTAAATTCCCCAGAAATGTCTCTTCTAGCCTCTTACCTAGAGTTAGCTGGCAGTAGAGTTGGGGAGAAGGCTGGAGAGAATGGTGGTTATATTTGGTATGTAAATGTTTAATCCTATTTTCAGTGTGTTATTCCTGTCTCCAGCTGTGTCTGGTGTTCCCCAGTCCAAAGACCCTCTGTTTCACTCTCTCTAGGAATAAACCTCTAATCTGCTAGGTGGCGGGGGAGAGAACAGTGGCTAACTACTTGGAATGAGACAGAGGATCTAGAAGTAATCGTTTCCTGAATAGCTTTTCCGCACACCACCCCGTAGCACAGTGTAGTACTAAAGACTACAAGCTCTGAGCCGCCAGAGGAATCTATCTCATAAGTTAGGCTTTCTCAGTTTTCCCCATTCCAGATAGGGGTTTAATGTCCCTGAGTTGGCTAAGTCAATTTGAACCCACCATTGCAAAATTGTAACTGAGACAGTGAAAGAGATCTGACCTAGCCAGCTCCATCTTGCTTCTAACCTCCAAGCTGTCCTTGTTCATCCCTGGGTGTAGGGTGAACTAACTTTGGGAGGAACTTATAGTTTAAAACAAATATAATAGGCAAATCCCCTTCTTGCCTGGGGACTAGATTGGCTTTGCAGGACTAACAAATTAGTCACAAGATTAGATATTATGGTTTAGGAGTCAGGCAGCTGGAGGCTACAAGATTCTGACCCTCCCTAAATTGCTCCTAAGTCAGCAATTGAGGTATTTTGCAGACCCTGCACACGATGGATCAGCTGGCACCACCCAGATCAATAAACTGGCTCATCTGATCTTCTGTCCCCACCCAGGAACTGACTCAGCGCAAGAAGGCAGCTTCAATTCCCTGATTTCATCTCTGACTCAACCAATCAACACTCTTGACACACATCCCCCACCCACCAAATTATCCTAAAAAACTCTCATCCTTGAATGCTCAGAAAGACCTATTTGAGTAATGAATTACTCTTTCTCTATTGAAATTCCCGTCTTGATAAATTGGCTCTGTCTCGGCGGCAGGCAAGGTGGACCCACTTGGTGGTTACAAGTTTTCAACCTACCTATCTTTGAGCTTCCAAAATTATTTTCTCCTTTCCATTTTGTCCTTGTGTCTTGTTGCTTGTGATTTGACCTCTTTATTGTTGTTAGTGGGTGTCTGAAGGCAGAGAAAGTGATGTGAGCATTCAGCCAGGCCAGGATCCCATTCCCATTGCCCTTGCCTTCAGTGGGATTTCTGCAATAGACTCTTCCCAATCTTTGTGCTTCTCCATCTAGCCATTATATTGCCACTAAAGTCACTTTCTTCAAACACAAAAGCAGCCATTTACTAAAAAATCTCATCAGCTCTCCACTGCCTACAGAAAAGTCAACACTCCCTAGCACAGTACCCTAGGTCTTGGATGACCTGATTCCAATATAATTTTATAGTGTGACTTATACCACCCACCACACATATCCAAAGCTGCAACAATTTTAGTTTTAATAGTGTACATCCATGATCTTCTGTCTTGAAGGCAGGGAATAAATTATGGAGGGTGTCTGAGAAGAGGTTGGAACCCAGCTACCTGAATCCATTACCTCAGCTCTGCCACTACTGGCTGGGCGATCTTGGGCAAGCTACTTAATCTCCATGTCTGCAAAACAGGAATCATAATGGGACCCACCTTCTAACAGTGTTAAAAGAATTAGAAAAGCACTTACAACAGTAGCTGGCAAGCAGGAAGTGCAAGGTAAAGATAATGATTATAATTCTCTGTCTCCTTCAGCAGATTATCAAATCCCTGGAGAAGAATCACTTCTCATTTATTCAACATTTGTGCTGTGCCTATGATGTGATGATGTAAAAAGAGCTTAGCAAATGGAAAGACTGTTGACTTATGGTTCAAATATAATGTGTCAAATGCTACAATAGAGGAAAGACCAAAGTGCGGAGAACAGATGAGGGAAGGCTTCACAGATCTAACACTGAAGAGGAGGCTGGAAGAATGAATGTGCGAGGGCCCAGAGTTGTGCAAGGAACAGTGGATGGGAAGAAAGCCAGTCTGGAGAAGCAGATTAGGGCCAGTTGCACAAGGCCCTGCACAACCTGTTTAGCATATGCTTTAATGTTTGACCAGTGTTTATCAATCTCACTGTGCTAGCATACTGGGTGTGTCAGAGAGTTATAAGGAGTCGAAGTATTTTGTTACTAATAATAGCTAAAATGTGGGTACTTGATATTTTAAAAATAAACCAGTACACACTCCCAAATGATGTTGAACAAAAGAATACATAATCTACGACTCCATTTATATAAAAGAAAGACGAAACCAGGCAAAGGTCATCTCTATTGTCTCAGTTCAGGATACAGGTACCTTCGGGGTGGACAGTGACAGGGAGGGGATTCAAGGGAGGGGAGTTCTGGGTGCCTCATGCTATTTCTTGATCTGGGGACTGGCTCCACAGGTGTGCTGTTTCTGAAAATTTAA